GGGGCATTCTGGGAGTTGAAGTCCTCCAGGCTTAAAGTTGCCAAGGTTGGAGACCCCTGCTGTAAAGTGTTTCCTAGCACAGTAGAGTGGTGGTTTATTTTTTAGCTTTTGTGATCACCGCTGTGCTATCGCCACAGTCTATTTTACAGCAGTTTATTCGCCGTGCATTTGGCTTTATTTCCACCAAAAAGCAGAAGTAGCTGTCCTCCACTCACACACGGCGCTCCAGCCAACTACTCCACCCACTGAGGCCCGGGAAGCCGCTGAATCACAAGGCCAAGAGGGCGTAACGGCACTCATGCTCCATCGCGCGCGTGCGCACTAGGCCACCACCGCTTCCTGGCGGCGGACACGCACGCGGCTACTCCGTTGCAAGTTCGCCCGATGCCGCCGTTTCCCCCACCGTCTTCCTGCCCCGCCGATCACGGGCGCCGCCATCTTTAGCACCGCCTCCATTTTACCCGTACACCGATAGTAGCATTAGCAAAATAAAAGGAGAAAAAAAAATATCAATGAAATCATCAACTAACTGCCTGCCTGCCTGCCTGCCTCCACTAAAATAGTTCCTCAAGCAAACCAGCAGCGTATTTACGCCGTTAGGCTTAGCAATTCCAACTCGAAGGAAGTTCGCCTCGGTACATCCAGCGAGTAGAACATGTGCAAAATGGCGCCGGGTCATTTCCTAACGGGCCTTAACTTGATTATCGACACAGCTTGGTGTCGTCAAAAAAGTGAAGCTACACCGCCTGATACGGAGAATAGATACAGACCTTCCTCGTACCGCGCTTGAACCCGCATAACATACCTCCGGCATAACGGCTGTAACGCGACATCCTTCCACCATCGGAAAAGAAAAAAAACCAACTGTCGCCAAGCGCATGCGGGTTGCAGTCCTTAAATAGATCGCGCCGTTATTGCGCACGCGCACTATAATTGTGAGACCATCGCGGACTGGCAAGGCGGGAAAGAGAGTTTGTGTTTCCATAGTAACGTTAGGCTGAAAAAGGGGAGGAGGAGAAGATGGGAAATAGGACGTGACGCTATTTTGAGCGACGTTAGGGCCTCACAAAGAGGCGTGTTTAAAATATCGCCTGTTTTAATGTTAAAAGCGTTTGAGATGTACGGCTGCTATTTTTCAGTACTTAATATGTATTTTAAAAATCGTTTGAGGATCATTCGGGGTTCTAGCAGACTGTAGAGCGCTAGAAAAACCAAACTTAATGATTTTTTTTTCAAATTCTCTAATATTTATCAAAACACTTACCTATGTTTAATTATTTGTTATCAGTGCCTCAAAAACAACACAACCCCGCACATAGTACCTGGAAGGGCGATCGCTAAACACTCTAAAACTGCGGACCAAACCCGGAAGAATTGAAGAAGAAAGCCAACCAAAGCTACTTCCTGCTCTTGTCAAAACAATATCCATGAAGCCGCCAAAACTCGAGATCCAGCGACGGGAAACGTAATTTCTACCTTTAAAAGCAATTGTCCTTTCGAAGCAGCTTACACAACTCACATTCATCCAAAACAAGATAGCCAATTTATAATGAGGCCCAGAAGATAAACCTTTTAAAAGCTGGATCCTAAAAATCCGGGGCAGAAAGAGAGGAATCAAAAAAGGTAACCATGGAAACGGAAAGGCTTCTTAAATTCCTAATTGTGTTCTAAAACAGATGAAACGTGAAGTCCGCCGTGAACCAGCTTTTCAAAACTTTTTTTTTTTTAAACCATAGAGCGATTCTACGATTCTAATCTGCTAAAGGGCTTCTTCCCGTCAGTTCCGTCCTTTTTGAAAGACTCCTCGGAAAGATCCGGCTACGGAAGGAGAATAAAGTGGGCCCTGAACGCAGTGCCTTCTGGGTCCCAGAAAGGACGGCTGGGCTGGAGCGAGGTGGCTTCGCGCTATCTTTAAAGGCCTTTCTGATTGAGTGGTGGCTGCCGAAGCTGAATATCCGGATTGTAATTTATTTTCGAGGATGTATATGAGTGCTGCCTCTACTTAAATGACAAGAACAACTGCAATCTTGCAGTCCAGCTTTTTTTTTTTTTTAATCAGCGCGCTGTATTTTTATGGAGTTGACTATGCCGTAAGAACCGCGAGGGATTATTAAACGGTGCGTTCGTAAACTGCAGGTTTTTCCGAACCTGAAATTAATGTATGTATTCTTTTATGAACATTATGAACATCATTCTTTTAGGAACATTGCTGAGTTCAGTACTAACGGACAATAGCCTAGCGGAAAGATTATTCGGTGGAATGATATTGCAACCATATCTTCGATACGGAAGAGCGATTAGCAAAAAGATTTCGATAATACGGATTGCTAAAATCATAATTATTATGACTTTATTATAGTATACGTGTTGTCACCGGGGTAGGGTGGGTAGGGGTTACTATTTTTGTTTTTATTTCTTTTATATGTTTTTAATATACTTGTAAGCTGCCTGGAGTCGCCATTTGAGAGTAGGCGGCTATATAAATTTTCTAAATAAGGTTATGCCCGACTTTCCTTGGAGCAAAGTATGTGCAGCATTCTGGACATATTTTCCAAAAAGAAATATGTGAGGTGAATTGCTGATAAATAGCGACTGACCAACATTAACTGTGAATCTTGATCACTATACCTTCGGTATAAAAGCTGTATGTTAAAACATAACCTAATGTCAAGAATATTGAAATTAGATTTATTAATATTATGAAATTAGAGGCCATGTGCTGCTGTTTATAACTTAATAAGAGTTTTAAATGTTCACACTCCAGTTGCTTTAATTTAGGGTAAAAAGTCAGCTTCAGTTGATACTAATATTCCTCCTTCAGCTTCTGAGGTTTATAGCATTTCAGGCCCATCTTGTTGCTGTTCCTGTGATCAAGAGTGAAAAAGTGCAATCAAATTAGTTTAATTTGAGATAGCAGGTTGGATGAAGGTTACAATCCAATACACATTTGCCTGGGAATAAGTTAAGGTGAACTCTCACCCCACTTATAGATATGTATTGGTTGTACTTTTACCTTATAATAATGTGCTTATATTTCTGATTAATGAAAAATAAGTAGGTAAAATAAGTATTTTTGTGATCAAAACTTGGGGTTAGCAGCTAAAGGCATCTGTCAAGAAATGACAGATTACTCTACCTTACTCTACCAAAAAGTAACCCTTTTGGAAGGAGAAAAATGGATTCATTAATAAGGAATGTAAAATAAAAATTGAGCTTATGTCAAAAATTATACATATGCTAATATGGTAATGGTGTTGGGCTACAAATGAGGAAGCCCCTGTTTTGCTTGGGTAAATTTTTGAAGTGCTGGTCTACCAAGACCTATTAAATCTTGAGATTCAATGTTACAACTAGACTTCAGCATTCCAACTATCAATGTCAGGGGAACGATAGCCAGAGATGGATATAACCGCTGTTTGTGAGCATTTCATAGACAGTTATTAGCCACTCTGATAAACAATCCTGGATTAATATGAATCTTGACTAGATTCAACAGGGCCATTTTATTCTTAGTCATGGAAATAGGCAAGTTTTCCTAATACAGAGGCAGAGGATATTGCTAGCAATGATGTTTTCTTTTCTCATTAGGTTCAGTAAAAAGAAAATATGACTGAATGGCAGAGGAAAACTCCTTTGGAATGGCAGGCTTTTGTGGATAAAGAAGTCAAAGTACTGGCTGCTGAGAAACACCAATACAAAGGATGGGTTTTAACAGTTGACCCAGTTTCTGCCAAGTATGTAGTGAATTCTATATAGATTTTTTTTTTTGAGAAATGTGTGCTAAGGGAAAATGAAGGGGATGAATGGTTATATTGTATAAAATGAAAAGCAAATTAAACTGGGAGATTGTACGCCTAAACAGAATACAAATGAATTCTTAATAAAAATATTAAATGTTTCTCTGTGGATAGTCATTTGAAAATATGTAGGTAATTTCAGGAAAAGTGCATGTGCATGCACAGAGAGGGAGGGAGAGAGAGAAAGAAAGAAATCAGTTCCCCAAAACTGCAAAGTAGCTGAGTCAAGGACCCTCCTGTTAACTGGCAATTGTGTGCATGCACTGAAGGACATCCTTTGGGATAGCTGATGAAGTAATCACTTCATGGCACACACAATGAAAATGACTTGAAACAACTTCTTGATGACTTTAAGGACCAAAGCTGGGGGATATTTTGCTCATGATCAAAATGCTTCATCAAGTGATTTGCACAATATTAGCATTTGGTATAAGAATATTTAGAGTATATGTAATCGACTTTACATCTTAGCATGATGTCAATTGAAAATGTAAGTCTGATGAAAAATAATTCCACCAAAATGCAACATGCATTATGTATATGATGTGACTGAAATATTTTATGTCTAACTGGAGAGTCCTCACTTATTCCGGCTTTTGATCTTGATCTAGTTATTACAAACTTCAGGGATTGCTAATGCAAACTGAAGCCCCAGGTTTATTGGGTAACTTGTGGGACAGCTTGTAATGCCATACAATTTCAGTTTTTTTTTTCATTGGGAGAGCAGCTGTTTCATTCTGATTTAAACTTTTTTGATACAACATCAGGATCAAGAGACTGATAGAAAGGCCTAGCATGCATGAAAAAGCCAACTAGCAATGTGATCATTTAACATAGCCTCATATGAACCTTTTACTTTTGACAGCATTCTTCTGGCAAATCCCCTTGAGAATGGAAGAGTGTCTGTTGTAGTTGTTTTAGGACATGCTGTGCAGAATATTGAAATAGTGACTGAAAAAGATGATGAAATCAAAGAAAAACTTGCACATCTCTTTATGGCTGGAAAAAGTCAAACTTATAATCAAGAAGAGCTGGACAGAAAGAAAAACTCCTTGAAGAGTTGGCTGGAGAAAAACCACATCCCTGTAAAAGAACAGGGAGAATCACAACCAACGCTGTGTGTGGCAGGTGTATTAACCATTGATCCCCCATATGGACCAGAAAATTGCAATAGCTCTAATGAAATAATTTTGTGTAGAGTTCAAGGATTGATTCAAAACTATCTTGTGCTTCAGCAGTGAGGCATATAGATTTCATTACACTTAAAACACTTTCCAGCTTAATAAAAAGTAGGAATGCTTAATGGTTAATGCTCAGCCATTGTTTCCAAATGTTGTTTTGTTTTGTATTGTATACAAATAGCAATTGTAGTTGTGATAATTATATTTTATATAAAAATAATTTGACTTTTTTTCTCACCAAATTCCTGCAAAGTTGATTTTATATAAAATAAAGTTAAAAATAAAGTCATTCTTATTCTTTCCAGTCTCTTAATTTGAAACCAAAATATTAACATTTCTGAAGAACATGGGACAGTAGTATAAGCAATATTTTGGACAGTTCCTCCTATGAATATGCAGCCTGTTTCCCAATTGAAAGTACTGTATAGTAAATTTTAGAAGTCCATTTTCTGTACATACCCAAGTCCTTTTAAAATATTGAAAATGGGCATTTTCCTATGTAAGACTTTTTCAGATGCAATATAGCAATATTTTCCTTGACTTTATTATCTACTATCACAAAACCACTTATGTGCACATGTATGTTCCTTTGACTGGTCAGACCATTGATAGAAATCTAAAACATGTTTTGGTCACATCTGTTGGGATTTGTAGTTCAGCATGGCATCATGTTGAAAAAGGCTGAGTAGACAATTGTCTTTCCAAATGTGGCATTTGGGAATGATTTTATATGTGAAGACCCAATGCTCACTATCTACAAAGTCCTTGATCATTCATGAAACTTACTGGTCACTACATTTTCAAATAATTGTCACCTATTGAAATGACACTAACTGAAGCCATAAAAGTTTCTTGTTTCTTGCTTAGTGGGGAGGGAGCTTTGTGGAATGTAGAATGTTTCCTTTCAGAGTGCCAGACATAACACTGATGAAGCTCCTAAGAGCTGAAGCTGACCCAGAGTATCCAGGCAGGAGGGGAGTACTAAGAGGCTCATCACCTGCTTGGTTGGCTAACATGATCTGGGACACAAGGGGGTGGCCAGTATCTTTTAATAATGCCAAAGCATAGGAACCATTCAGAGTTGGCTTGACTTTGAACGTGCCTATATGATGTACCCAATAAACAAGATATTTGAAAAAGCAAGAGCCTCTGAGTCTTGAACTAATTGGTAGCATAACTTGGAACCATGACAGTAATAAGTAGTTGAGGTGAAATACTGTAAAAATATAAATTCAGTATTAATAGGCATCCTAAATATTTATTTTTAAACTCTGAGAAATTCATAAGGAACTTTATTGACGTATTTCCAAAATGTTGTTTGACTGAAATTCATAAGATTTTCCTTATTCTGACAGAAGTCTGCAAAAACTTTGGGCTTTGTTAATAAGGTGCCAGATGAAATTCGTAAGTCAATCAGTTGATTATAAAATAAGTTTTCTCATACTTAAGTTTGTCAATCACTTTTCTGTCCTGGATAGAATCAAGCTCAAAAAATCAGGAGGTAGCTGTTTCCCAATGTTTACTTTCATCATCAATTTTGCAAAACTTCCCTCCCTCTTACTATATCCACAAATCAAACCACAATGCTTTGAGCAGTTTCAAACAGACTATAGTTTTCTTAAAAGGAATGACAGCTATTAGTTTTGAGAATGCCTTTATTTATTACAATATTTATATAAAGTATATAGCCTACATCAGGCTCCAAAACTATATTATTTGAGAATAATGAGTAATACAGCTTAGGCCAATTTTATGCTAAAATTATTCCATAATTTGTATTGCTATATTTGAATTCTAGCAGCCAACACTGATTATTTGACTAAATGAAAATAGATGTACATTTACTGAAATTGGACAGGAATCATTTTTGGATGCAGAGCAATGTAGAAACCATGATTATGGTATGTTTCATGCACTGCCTTTTTGGGAAGGGGAAGAACAAATTAACATCCTGCCAGATTATCATAGACTATTGGACACAAAAAGGGAATGGTGAATCATTAAACATCAAATGTATGTGTGATCTGTTCATAAATTATTTTCTGAATGCTTACCTCTTATTCAAAAGGGGAAAAAACCCTTAAATTTTATTTTAAATATGCAAGCTCCTTATGTAAACTTGTATCCATTTCTATTGTAATTATAAACTTGTTTATTTTGAGCTACAGTGCTTAAAAAGGCTTTAAAATTGGATATTTAGGCTTCCAAATAGCTATACAAGAGCCAGTTCTACATTTTATCATTCTGTCATTAACATTAGAAGACAGCCATCCTCAGTAGCTAATGCTATTGTGTGGTCACAAGTTTTACAATCAAGCTGATAATCCGAGATCCTCGAGGGCAAGTGCACAGATCCATGCTGGGGTTTTTAATTTTTTCCTGGAGTAACTGGTCAAGTTCATTGCGAAGTTCTTTCACTAGTTCAGCAACCTGAAATCACAAATATGCACTTAAAATAAACTTCTTCTGGATAAGGTTTCTAATAACAGCCACTCAAAGCACTTCATAAACGCAGTGTGAAGGACATAGCCATTCTTTTATGCTGCCTCTGACTCTGGAAGGTCTATTCACTATTTCCTCTTTCTGGATAGCTATACCATACATTGCATCAGCAAATATTCAGTTTTTTTGTGTGGCAGGGGGATAATGATTCAAGAAAGACACCTTATTTGATTCTTAGTGTGCTTGTAACTAGATCTTTGAACAAGTCCCACTGAATAGAGTATTACATGAAACTATGATAATTACATTGTCCTTACGTGTATCCCAATGTTCCAAATTAGGATAGAAAGAGAATGAAATGCAAAACACTGACATGGAAGGCTATGTATATCAAGCTCTCGGTGCTTAAGTTTTCTATATATTAACTTGGAATTTTTATGCTCTGCACAGAAATGTTAAACACACTTATTTAGTCTTGAGTATTTTTCTTTATGTGGTTTACAGGGTTAGTTTATCTACCTGCACAAGTTATTGCATCATACAATCAAAATACCACAAGAAATTAATTTTTCAGAAGGTGAAAAGTTGTTTTTCACACCGGCAACATGTTTTCCTTCTATCTTTAAATGGGAGGAAAGTATGTCACTTGGGAAATGGCTGACCCTACAGAGTTCTTTTTGCCACACCAGAAATGAGGTGGCAAAGCTGTTCCCCTCATATGAAGTAAACGACAGCAGTTCTGGGAGCGAGCAGGAGAAAAGTGGAAAGAGATTCTACCTGCCACTCTTCTGGCCTCTCACTGAAGATCACCTACGCCTATGCGGAAATATCTGGAATGTGTGAAGCAATAATAGCTGCATGGTTGAAGGAGGCAGTCACACTGGCAATCTACAGCAGCAGTGGCTGCTGCTGCTGCTAACACAGGCAGAAAGGCCAGGTGCAGTAGGCTGGAGGGAAGGGTAGGGATTATCATAATAGGAGCAGAGATTACCAAGAGGAATCCATTCCTCAATGTCATTCGTCCTATGAGACCCCCTCCTCCCGGCCAAATGTCTCTGGATGCAGGGCAAAACTTGGTTTTCTCTGGCAGCTAAACCACAAATGACTATGAAAGCCCAGAATCCACAACCAAATGTGAGAGGGTAATTCTGTAGCAGGCAAATAATGACCTTTCTCAGGCCTCTCTTTCATGTGACACTTCAAAAACATACCTCTATACTGGCCTGCTACTTTTATCCAGCCTAAGCCTATCTGAAAGACGCTGGCCACAAGATGATAATTCTATCAGGAGGATAGGCATATATTATGATAGGCATACTTCATTGATACAATTTATCTTACTGTATAAGGTTGCAACTTCATGAGACATATACACAGTACCATATTGGTCTGTATTATACCAGTGAACTGCGAAACAATGGTTTTCAAGCAATGAAGGCATCTATATTCACGAAGGAGGCGTTGTCCTTAAATCACCCATCCCATAGAGTTTGATTTGAGGCCATAAAGCCATAAGAAAGAAAGTGGTCCTTTTCAATTTAGGAAATTTAAAAAATTAGATAAAGTGCTGCTCATTGTATTGTAAGTGCCTTCTAGAACAGATACATTTTTCCATTTCAGCCTCAGGGACCAAAGTGTCCAGAAGGGGGTTTTCTTTAAGGAACAGAACCTGTTCTCTATATTGATATAGAAAGTTGTACAAGACAACATCATCCAATACTGCAAATGAAAGTACATATAGTCCTTGACTTACAACCATACATTTAGTGATTGTTCTAAGGTTCCGGAGAGCTGAAATTTTTTTTAATTTATGAGCAGTTCTCACATTTATTACGGATGCATCCTCTCAATGGTCACATTATCAAAATTCAGGTGTTTGCCAACTGGCATGTATTTCTCACAGTTGCACTGTCCAGGGGTCATGTGATTACCATCTGTAACCTTCCCAGCCAGCCCCTGATAAGCAAAATCAATAGGATAAGCCAGATTGGCTTAATGACTGCATGATTCACTTAACAACTGCAGTGATTTGTTTAGCAACTGTGGCAAAAATATTGTAAAATGGGACAAAACTCACTTAACAACTCTCCTGCCTAGCAATGGAAAAATTGGGTTCAATTGCGATTGTGAGTCATGGACTAACTGTAATTTTATTATGAGAACTATTTATATCAACCATTTTTAAGATGTTGTCCTTTAAGTGTATAGGGGTTACAACATTTATAATCCAACAGATTTGGAGAACAGCTTGAAAAAACATAATGGATCTGCTGAGTTGCTTAATTCGTTACCTGACGTGAAGCTGCAACAAAGTTAATCCACCCATCATCCAAGGAAACAACATATGCCCCATTCTGGAGGTGCATGTTCACACGGCCTCCCCCAAACAAGATCAGTGGATATACTGACACCATGCTGCAGTCTCGAATAAAAATCCGGCTGGTTTTTACCATTTCATGGTATACCAAGTAGGGGCTATCAAACCGCTTTATCTGAAATACAGAATTCCAAAGAAGAATTATGGAACATTTAAAACAAGAACAACAACTTTGGTTGTATAAATATCATCTGTATCATACTATACACCTGCCACCTAGATTTTGCTAACAAAAATGGGTACTCTGCCAGCATAAAATGGCCAGACCTGAAGAGGACATGGAGATGATATTCGAAACCTCTAGGAAGGCTTCATATGAATCTAGTAAGCTGGAGGAGAAAGGAGAGAAAGACATATCCTTGTATTGGTGTCTATAGAAATATTCAATGTTTCAACAAGGCTTATAGTATATAAGCAGGCAACTATTGTCTAATGTTGTGCATGCTATTCCTTCCATAAAGAAGACTATATGTGCTAGAATAAATTGGAGTAGAATACTTTACTGACTGGAGGTTAGAAATTACCTGATAATTTACAGAGGATGGATGAATGTGAACGTAACCCTGGCTTTTTGTAGCAAACATCAGTGTTTCAGGTTTTGGATTAAATTTAGCAGCTCCTTTAATAATCGTCAGACACTTCTTTTCTGGTACTTTTATCTAAAATGGTAAATAAAAATTGTGAATTGAATATCCACAAACAATCCCCATTTATTTCAACAGATATGCATAGAAAGAGACATTTCTACTAAACTGCTTCCCTCTAACAAATCAACATGGTGATATTGTGGAATTTAAAAGAAAAGAAAGAATTGGGAAGGTGGGGGAGAACCCAGAGAGACTACCTCATTCCTCAAATCTATTCCAAACTTAGTAGTAGCACATATTACAAAGCCATAGCCCGGATGTTTTTGTTTGACAAGATAACTGGAGCGTCATGTTTGTGAACATGATCAATGTATGTGAAATCAGTGCAAATCCAACCCAACCCTGAAGTCATTAGCTGGTGTTTGGAAAGCACATTGTTTTAAGCACCAGCTTTCATTTCTAACACTATGTATTTCCAGGCAGGTTACCATTTTTCCCTTCTCCCCAAGAAATCCTTATTGTGTCAGTAACCACTTCTCTTGTTGCTACAGTACTTTTCTCTGAGCCTCAGCCAAGTCCTCTAAACCCAAACGTGCCTAGAACCAAGCAGCTATAAACACAGACTGGTTTTGCAAAACAACTACTGTTAAGTCATTCACCAACTAAATAATGTCCCCATCTCAAGCCAGTGCAATAAAACTCCAGGAAACTTTACAATGCTAGTTTCTGCAAATATGTTTTAAGTCCTAGTGTAGGACTTTGGGATAGGGTGAGGAAAAATAGCCCTGCTGTGTATTAAAAGCAGAGTTAAGCGATCAGTAATACTATGCCTACAGTGGAGGATTGGAGCAATAGGTTCCAGGCAGAAAGAAAATGGTGTTTTTTTTTTTAAATTTGTTTATTCAAAATTTCAAAAAAGATTTAAAAAGAGAAACATGTTTTCACATTTTGCAGCGTTATCATAACAGTGTATATATATCTATTAGTGTCAATTACATTCATTTACTACAAATATATCTATAACTTGCAGAAAGGAAATGGTTTTAATGCTTAAGGAAGTTCTTGTATAAATTTCCCCCTTAAAATGTCCTGGTATTGCAATCAATTCTATTTCACAGACCAGAGTCAGGGAAATAGATATTAATACAAGCAGATGATGATTACTTTTATATGCTTACCTGAACCACATTTGGATACATAGCGGCACATAATATGGCTGATATCAACTTGACATTCTCTGCATTTGCATTTGCCTGTGACATAGATGACAAGTTAAAGAGTATGAAGACTATCCCTTATGCAGGCATTGGCAAAGAACTATGTAGCATGCAGCAGCAACTGGGAAGAAATCCTGAATATTTTTGGTGTCAGGTTTCTTTTAAAAGAAATTTCTCAATCTTATGTTTGAGAAATATGATTGAAAATAAGGTAATGCATACTGGTATCATCAGAAGTTTTAGGATGAAGGGGAAATATTTGGGCCTCTATCTTCTGCCTGAAATACATGTGACAGCCTTATGCCAAATTAGACCACAAGCCAATGAAATCTTGTGTGACCCGCAGTAGGTTTTTAAAAGTTTTCTATTGCTTCTTTCTTTTCTATTGGAGGTAGC